GGGAGACACGTGTGTGTGTGTGGTGGGAGACACGTGTGTGTGTGTGGTGGGAGACACGTGTGTGTGTAGTAGGAGACACGTGTGTGTGTGTGGTGGGAGACACGTGTGTGTGTGTGTGTGGGAGACACGTGTGTGTGTGTGTGGTGGGAGACACGTGTGTGTGTGTGGTGGGAGACACGTGTGTGTGTGTGGGAGACACGTGTGTGTGTGTGTGTGGTGGGAGACACGTGTGTGTGTGTGTGTGGTGGGAGACACGTGTGTGTGTGTGTGTGGGAGACACGTGTGTGTGTGTGGGAGACACGTGTGTGTGTGTATGTGGGGGACACGTGTGTGTGTGTGTGTGTGTCTGAGACACGTGTGTGTGTGTAGTGGGAGACACGTGTGTGTGTGTGGTGGAAGACACGTGTGTGTGTGTGTGGGAGACACGTGTGTGTGTGTGTGGGAGACACGTGTGTGTTTGTGTGTGGGAGACACGTGTGTGTGTGTAGTGGGAGACACGTGTGTGTGTGTGTAGTGGGAGACACGTGTGTGTGTGTGGGAGACACGTGTGTGTGTGTAGTGGGAGACACGTGTGTGTGTGTGTGTGGGAGACACGTGTGTGTGTGTGTGTAGTGGGAGACACGTGTGTGTGTGTGGGAGACACGTGTGTGTCTGTAGTGGGAGACACGGGTGTGTGTGGTGGGAGACACGTGTGTGTGTGTGGTGGGAGACACGTGTGTGTGTGTGTAGTGGGAGACACGTGTGTGTGTGTGGGAGACACGTGTGTGTGTGTGTGTGGGAGACACGTGTGTGTGCAAGCTCCATCGAGGCTCTCGCAATGAGCCCGAGTGAGTGAGTCAGCCTGTCCTGCTTTGAGCGGGAGGATGTTCGCCGCACTTCCCTCCCTACGCATGTCCCCGTTTCCCTGCACATGCCCCTCTCCCCTCCTTTCTCGACAATCCCCCTACACCCCCCCCCCCACCTCGGAGCCCCCCCACCCCCACATACACCCTCCCCCATACGGCAACTCCAATCCTCTGCAGCCACCCCCACCACCACCACCATCACCCCCGCAAGGCGAGCGAGGTGTCCTCGTCCCGTGGCGAGTCGATTGAATCACTCATTCTGCCACCTCAAAGCCACTCGAGGCACAAGGCAAATAAAAGACAAATATTCCCCCCCGACCCCTCCCCCCGTATAGCCTTGCAACACACTGTTGGGGCAAGTGTTGTCAGCGAGCACCGACCGCCTTTGTCTCCCCAGTGGCGATGCTTTACACATCGCACCGGGTACTCATTTTAGGCTGAGTCGACCTAGGGAGAGAAGCCCCAGAAGCGGGTTCGTATCGCAGAGCGCTAACCGCTGCGCCACCGCTCCCCACACACACACACACAAACCAAACTCTCACAATCGTCTTCCCAATACACCCCCCCCCCCCCCACTCCGAGCACACGGAATCGAAATCTGTGACTTAAAACTTTCGTGACTGCAGGAATTCATATTCTTAGTTCTTTCGGTAAGGTCACCGTAGATAGAAAATAAAAATAATAAAATGGAATAAAATTTTTAAATAATATATTGGAATTAATAAACACAAAAAAAAACCCCGCTACGTTTCGATCGCAACACAAGCGGCTGATGAAGGCCGCTTGTATTGCGATCGAAACGTCGTGGTTTTTTTGTTGCTTTCTTTATTTTCAATTCATTCTTTTTTTATTTTAAATGTATTTTTTTTATCTCCGTGACTTTACCGAAAGAACCAAGAATATGAATATCAGAATCTGTGTTTATACTGGAGAAATCCGATGAGCTATGAGGCTCTTTTTCATAGGGTCAGAACGTTTTGTAGAGGTGTTAACTACGCGCTGTTGCGTAACCTGAATTGCCACCAGGGCAGTGCAGCATTACCCCTGGGTACAACGGTTGGGGTCAGTCGAGGTGAAACGGATCGTGGCCAGGGTTTGGTACGAACCAATCAGACGGTTCCACGTGGGAATGTATGATTGGTTCTACCTGGCCACGAAGGGGTATAAGACGGGTGACCCAACGGACCTCGGGGAGTTCTCTCCCTGCACGAAGATAGAAGACTGGGCTGAAGCCTAGCTAGGACCCTGGACCAGCCTTCCAGCCCTTCTCAGGGCTAAGGCTCGGCATACCCAGTGGTCAGGACCCACCGGGCCAGCGGTGGGTCAGATAGCCTCCCCTAGGTCCTAGCCGGAGGACTAGGATAGTGGTAGACGTGTGAGTCCCGCCAAGTCCGGAGGTTGTACCTCCCTAGGGTATCGGGTGAGGGGACCGAATATCCCTCTGTGTGTGTTAAGCGTTGTATAAGGAAATAATACAATAAACAGAGTGTGTCTCCTAAAGAAGTCTGCTCTTCCTTACAACACTACAGTTTCAACAGCGACAAATGTAAAAAAGACCCACTAGAATATAGGAAAGGTAACAGAATCGCTTAAAAACTAAATATTTTATTTATTTTACCAGCTAAAGCCCACTGAGCTATTAGCTTCTTTATTTAAGCAGCGACCTGGTGGCAAATGATAGCTCAACGTAGGGGCCTACCGTCACGTGAACATTTATATTAGCAGTAGCCAACTAACTCGAAATAATCTTCAGCAATACCAATACCCGCCAAAGTGACGGTGACGTAATCACGGCGCCTGTGCCAGGCTAGGTGCACTTTGAGGTCACGGGACAGATCCAGCAGGTGCCATGGGTTGGCTGACTGAGATGACCACCGGTAGGTGGATAATCGAGACAAATACAAAGACAAATATCCCCCCCGTATAGCCTTAACATACTTGTTGGGGCAAGTGCTGTTAGCGAGCACCTATGAGGCCGTCCATAAATGACGTCACGCACCTGGGGGGGGGGGAGGGGTCAGACATTTGTGACGATGTGTGACGAGGGGGGGGGGGGGGTTAGAAATGTGACGTCACATCAAAATGCGCAACTTTCAATAAATATAGACAACACGTTCTACTGCATTAAATAAACGTTTAAATAAATGTTTTTTCCTACAACATCATAGTGCAGCGCCACATTAAATACGCACTACAATGACAATATTCTTTGGTTCTATTGGGTAAAGTCACGTAGGTGAAAATAAAATAACCAAAAATCACGACGTTTCGGCCACAACACACGCGGCCTTCGTCAGGTGAAGGGACGAGACTGTCTGGAGGACAGCGCTGGAGTGGAAGAAGCTGTGGCCGAAACGTCGTGATTTTTTGTTATTTTATTCTCACCTACGTGACTTAACCCAATAGAACCAAAGAGTATGGATCCTAGCAGTCACGAAAGCTTTAAATCTAGAATACAATGACAATAGTTTAAAGCGATTTGAAGTACGTTTTATTTTCAAAATGGAAATATGGTTTTGGACGTCATATTTGAGGGGGGGGGTCTGACTTTTTGTGACGCCGTGTGACGAGGGGGGGGGTCAAAAATCGCGTGACGTCATTTATGGACGGCCCCTATGAAGGCCGGCACGGCACACGAGGGGGTGGTGGGTGGCCAACACCACGCCCGACCGCCTTTGTCTCCCCGGTGGCGATGTTTACACACCGCACCGGGTACTCATTTGTGTCTGAGTCGACCTAGGGGAGGCCCAAGACCGGTTCAGATATTCGTCACTGGTGTTGGCCGTGAGCGAGAATCGAACCCGCTCCACCACCGCTCCCCAATCCCACGAAGTCCGCTAACCCCCCCCCCCCCCACACCGCATCACCCCTCCCCCCTCCACCCCTCCCTCCTCCCCCCCACACCGCATCACCCCTCCCCCCACTGCCCCTCCCCCCGCCCCAGCAGTGCTCACCACGTCGCAGCAACTTCCAGAATGTGCCAGAAATGATCCCAATTACATGAGGCGGGGGGAACGATGGAGGGGGGGGGGGTGCATGGGAGGAGGTGCATGGGGGTGGGAGAGATGGGGGGGTGCATTGGGGGAGTGCATGGGGAGGTGCATGGGGGAGAGATGGGGGGGGGGGTTGCGGGGGGGGGGTACACGGCGTCGAGAGGGAGTGGGAGCTTGTGGAGGACGTGAGTCTCCGCACGCGGGCCGTGTAAATCGAGCCCCTATTAGTGGGGGGAGGGGAGGGGAGGGGGGGGCATCGATTCTCGTTGTTCACGTCGTCATTCTTCCGCGGCGCGCGTGGGGTGAGGGAGGCGGTACGAGCAATGAGCGTTGTGGGAATTTTCCATCGATTTAAGGCCCCCCCCCCCCACCCCCCTTTTAAAGCCATTCGTCGCGGCGCAAATTGCGAGCAAATAAATTCATCGGCCATGGGTCGGCAACGTTTAGAAACCCCATCACCACCATCACCACCATCACCATTAACACCATCACCACCACCATCACCACCATCACCATCATCACCACCACCATCATCACCACCACCATCACCACCATGACCACCATGACCACCATCACCACCACCATCACCACCACCATCACCACCATCACCACCATCACCATCAACACCATCACCACCATCACCACCATCACCACCACCACCACCATCACCACCATCACCACCATCAACACCATCACCATCATCACCACCACCATCACCACCATCACCACCATCACCACCACCACCATCACCACCACCATCACCATCACCACCATCACCACCACCACCATCACCACCATCACCATCATCACCACCACCATCATCACCACCACCATCACCACCATCACCACCATGACCACCATCACCACCACCATCACCACCACCATCACCACCATCACCACCATCACCATCAACACCATCACCATCACCACCATCACCACCACCATCACCACCACCATCACCATCACCACCACCACCATCACCACCATCACCACCATCACCATTAACACCATCACCACCATCACCACCATCACCATCATCACCACCACCATCATCACCACCACCATCACCACCATCACCACCATGACCACAATCACCACCACCATCACCACCACCATCACCACCATCACCACCATCACCATCAACACCATCACCATCACCACCATCACCACCATCACCACCACCATCACCACCACCATCACCATCACCACCACCACCATCACCACCATCACCATCACCACCATCACCATCACCACCATCACCACCATCACCACCACCATCACCATCACCACCATCACCACCATCACCATCACCACCATCACCACCATCACCACCATCACCACCACCATCATCACCACCATCACCACCACCACCATCACCACCATCACCACCATCACCATCACCACCATCACCACCATCACCAGCACCATCACCACCATCATCACCACCATCACCACCACCACCATCACCACCATCACCACCATCACCACCACCATCACCACCACCATCACCATCAACACCATCATCACCACCACCATCAACACCATCACCACCATCACCACCATCATCACCATCATCACCACCACCATCAACACCATCACCACCATCACCACCACCACCATCACCACCACCATCACCATCACCACCATCACCACCACCACCATCACCACCATCACCATCATCACCACCACCATCAGCACCACCACCATCACCACCATCACCACCATGACCACCATCACCACCACCATCACCACCACCATCACCACCATCACCACCATCACCATCAACACCATCACCATCACCACCATCACCACCACCATCACCACCACCATCACCATCACCACCACCACCATCACCACCATCACCACCATCACCATTAACACCATCACCACCATCATCACCATCATCACCACCACCATCATCACCACCACCATCACCACCATCACCACCATGACCACAATCACCACCACCATCACCACCATCACCACCATCACCATCAACACCATCACCATCACCACCATCACCACCATCACCACCACCATCACCATCACCACCACCACCATCACCACCATCACCATCACCACCATCACCATCACCACCATCACCACCATCACCACCACCATCACCATCACCACCATCACCACCATCACCATCACCACCATCACCATCACCACCATCACCACCATCACCACCACCATCATCACCACCATCACCACCACCACCATCACCACCATCACCACCATCACCATCACCACCATCACCACCATCACCAGCACCATCACCACCATCATCACCACCATCACCACCACCACCATCACCACCATCACCACCATCACCACCACCATCACCATCACCACCACCATCACCATCAACACCATCATCACCACCACCATCAACACCATCACCACCATCACCACCATCATCACCATCATCACCACCACCATCAACACCATCACCACCATCACCACCACCATCACCACCATCACCACCACCATCACCACCATCACCACCACCATCACCATCAACACCATCACCATCATCACCACCACCATCACCACCATCACCACCATCACCACCATCACCATCACCACCACCATCACCATCACCACCATCACCACCACCACCATCACCACCATCACCATCATCACCACCACCATCATCACCACCACCATCACCACCATCACCACCATGACCACCATCACCACCACCATCACCACCACCATCACCACCATCACCACCATCACCATCACCATCAACACCATCACCATCACCACCATCACCACCATCACCACCACCATCACCACCACATCACCATCACCACCACCACCATCACCACCATCACCACCATCACCATTAACACCATCACCACCACCACCATCACCACCATCACCATCATCACCACCACCATCATCACCACCACCATCACCACCATCACCACCATGACCACAATCACCACCACCATCACCACCACCATCACCACCATCACCACCATCACCATCAACACCATCACCATCACCACCATCACCACCATCACCACCACCATCACCACCACCATCACCATCACCACCACCACCACCATCACCACCATCACCATCACCACCATCACCATCACCACCATCACCACCATCACCACCACCATCACCATCACCACCATCACCACCATCACCATCACCACCATCACCACCACCACCATCACCACCATCACCATCATCACCACCACCATCATCACCACCACCATCACCACCATCACCACCATCACCACCACCACCATCATCACCAGCACCATCACCACCATCATCACCACCATCACCACCACCACCACCATCACCACCATCACCACCATCACCACCACCATCACCATCACCACCACCATCACCATCAACACCATCATCACCACCACCATAAACACCATCACCACCATCACCACCATCATCACCATCATCACCACCACCATCAACACCATCACCACCATCACCACCATCATCACCATCATCACCATCACCACCACCACCATCACCACCATCACCACCACCATCACCACCATCACCACCACCACCACCATCACCACCACCATCATCACCATCACCACCACCACCATCACCACCACCATCACCACCATCACCCCCATCACCACCATCACCATCACCACCATCACCACCATCACCATCACCACCATCACCACCACCATCACCACCACCATCATCACCATCACCACCACCACCATCACCACCATCACCACCATCACCACCATCACCATCACCACCATCACCACCACCACCATCACCACCATCACCACCATCACCACCATCACCACCACCATCACCACCACCATTAACACCATCAACACCATCACCACCATCACCACCATCACCACCACCATCACCACCATCACCACCACCATCACCACCATCACCACCACGATCACCACCATCAACAGCATCACCACCATCAACACCATCATCACCACCACCATCAACACCATCACCACCACCACCATCACCACCATCACCACCATCACCACCACCACCACCATCATCACCATCACCACCATCACCACCACCACCATCACCACCACCACCATCATCACCACCACCATCATCACCATCACCACCATCACCACCATCACCATCACCACCACCATCACAATCACCACCATCACCTCCATCATCACCACCACCATCACCACCATCAACAGCATCACCACCATCACCATCAACACCATCATCACCACCACCATCAACACCATCACCACCACCACCATCACCACCATCACCACCACCATCACCACCATCACCACCACCATCACCACCATCACCACCATCAACAGCATCACCACCATCACCATCAACACCATCATCACCACCACCATCAACACCATCACCACCACCACCATCACCACCATCACCACCATCACCACCACCACCATCACCACCACCATCATCACCACCATCACCACCACCACCATCACCACCACCACCACCACCATCATCACCACCATCACCACCACCACCATCACCACCACCACCATCATCACCACCACCATCAACACCACCACCACCATCACCACCACCATCATCACCATCACCACCATCACCATCACCACCACCACCACCATCACCACCACCACCATCATCACCACCACCATCATCACCATCACCACCATCACCACCATCACCATCACCACCACCATCACCACCACCATCACCACCATCACCACCATCATCACCACCACCATTAACACCATCAACACCATCACCAGCACCATCACCAGCACCATCACCACCATCACCACCATCACCATCACCACCATCACCACCACCATCACCACCATCACCACCACCATCACCACCATCACCACCACCATCACCATCACCACCATCATCACCATCACCACCATCACCATCACCACCACCATCATCACCATCATCACCACCATCACCACCATCACCACCACCATCACCACCACCATCATCACCACCATCACCACCACCATCACCACCATCACCACCATCACCACCATCATCACCACCATCACCACCACCATTAACACCATCACCACCATCACCACCATCACCACCACCATCACCACCATCACCACCACCATCACCACCACGATCACCACCATCAACAGCATCACCACCATCAACACCATCATCACCACCACCATCAACACCATCACCACCACCACCATCACCACCATCACCACCATCACCACCACCACCACCACCATCACCACCACCATCATCACCATCACCACCATCACCACCACCACCATCACCACCACCACCATCATCACCACCACCATCATCACCATCACCACCATCACCACCATCACCATCACTACCACCATCACCATCACCACCATCACCACCATCATCACCACCACCATTAACACCATCAACACCATCACCATCACCACCATCACCACCATCACCACCACCATGACCATCACCACCACCATCACCACCACCATCACCACCATCACCACCACCATCACCACCATCACCACCACCATCACCACCATCACCACCATCACCATCACCACCATCAACAGCATCACCACCATCACCATCACCATCAACACCATCATCACCACCACCATCAACACCATCACCACCACCACCATCACCACCATCACCACCATCACCACCACCACCATCACCACCACCATCATCACCATCACCACCATCACCACCACCACCACCATCACCACCACCACCATCATCACCACCATCACCACCACCACCATCACCACCACCACCATCATCACCACCACCATCATCACCACCACCACCATCACCACCACCATCATCACCATCACCACCATCACCATCACCACCACCACCATCACCACCACCACCATCATCACCACCACCATCATCACCATCACCACCATCACCACCATCACCATCACCACCACCATCACCACCATCACCACCATCACCACCATCATCACCACCACCATTAACACCATCAACACCATCACCAGCACCATCACCAGCACCATCACCACCATCACCACCATCACCATCACCACCATCACCACCACCATCACCACCATCACCACCACCATCACCACCATCACCACCATCACCATCACCACCACCATCACCATCACCACCATCACCATCACCACCACCATCATCACCATCATCACCACCATCACCACCATCACCACCACCATCACCACCACCATCATCACCACCATCACCACCACCACCACCATCACCACCATCACCACCATCACCATCACCACCACCATCATCACCACCATCACCACCATCACCACCATCACCACCATCACCTCCACCACCACCATCATCACCACCATCACCACCATCATCACCAGCACAATCACCACCACCATTAACACCATCAACACCATCACCAGCACCATCACCACCACCATCATCACCACCATCACCATCACCACCACCACCATCACCACCATCACCACCATCATCACCATCATCACCACCACCATCACCACCATCACCACCACCATCACCACCACCATCATCACCACCATCACCACCACCATCACCACCATCACCACCACCATCACCATCGCCATCACCACCACCATCACCACCACCAGCACCACCATCACCACCATCACCACCATCATCACCACCATCACCACCATCACGACCACCATCACCACCACCACCACCATCACCACCATCACCACCATCACCATCATCACCATCACCACCATCACCACCCACCATCACCATCACCACCATCACCACCATCACCATCACCACCATCACCACCATCACCACCACCACCATCACCACCACCATCATCACCACCATCACCACCATCACCACCATCACCAGCACCACCACCATTAACACCATCAACACCATCACCAGCACCATCACCACCACCCTCATCACCACCATCACCATCACCACCACCATCACCACCATCACCACCATCACCACCATCATCACCATCATCACTACCATCACCACCACCATCACCACCACCACCATCATCATCACCATCATCACCACCACCATCACTACCATCACCATCACCACCAGCACCACCATCACCACCATCACCACCACCATCACCACCATCACCACCATCACCACCATCATCACCACCACCATCAACACCACCACCATCACCACCACCACCATCACCACCACCATCACCAGCACCACCATCACAACCACCATCACCACCACCATCACCAGCACCACCATCACCACCACCAGCACCACCACCAACACCACCACCACCACCACCATCACCACCACCATCATCACCACCATCACCACCACCATCACCACCACCATCACCACCATCACCACCACCATCACCATCATCACCACCATCACCACCACCATCATCACCACCATCACCACCACCATCAACACCATCAACACCATCAACACCATCACCATCACCACCACCATCAACACCATCAACACCATCACCAGCACCATCACCACCATCACCACCACCATCACAACCACCATCACCACCACCATCACCAGCACCACCATCACAACCACCATCACCACCACCATCACCAGCACCACCATCACCACCACCAGCACCACCACCAACACCACCACCACCACCACCATCACCACCACCATCATCACCACCATCACCACCACCATCACCACCACCATCACCACCATCACCACCACCATCACCATCATCACCACCATCACCACCACCATCATCACCACCATCACCACCACCATCAACACCATCAACACCATCAACACCATCACCATCACCACCACCATCAACACCATCAACACCATCACCAGCACCATCACCACCATCACCACCACCATCACAACCACCATCACCACCACCATCACCACCATCACCACCACCACCATCACCACCACCACCACCATAACCACCACTATCAACACCATCAACACCACCATCAACACCACCATCACCACCACCATCACCACCACCATCACCACCACCATCACCACCAGCACCACCATCATCATCACCACCACCATCACCACCACCACCATCACCACCACCACCATCACCACCATCACCACCACCAGCACCACCACCATCACCACCATCACCACCATCACCACCACCATCACCACCACCACGCCGCCTTTGTCTCCCCAGTGGCGATGTTTTTTTTGACGCGCAGCACCAGGTGCTCATTTGAGGCTACCCAGGGGAGGCCCAGTACCGGTTTCCGATGATCGTCACCCCACGGCCACCCCAAGGGCACGCATTAATCAAGACACCTGACAAGATCCGTCCACGCCAATTTGGCGGCGCAGATTTGACGGCAGGAATTGCCGCGCCGATTTCATTTCAAAGCGGCCCGTTACGGTAACAAACAAAAAAAATGAAATAGCAACCTCGGGGGACGCGTTCGATACTTAAAGAATTTTGTTGAGTTTTTGTTGTTTGGTTTAACCAGGTAAGGCCCCGCTGAGATAAATACACGAGCTGGTTTTGTTTTTGTTTGTCGGAAGCGACCCCGGCCATCATTAATGATAGCTCAGCGACGTGGGATCATCATCGTCGCCGCGTGGAAAATCTGCGCGACCAAGGGGAGAGAGAGAGAGACGCATCATCCCGTAAACCCAATATGAATGAACGTGGGAATTTCACTTAACGAGGTCGTAGGTTTTTCTCAGAATCAGAATCAGAAAGGGTTTTATTCGCCATGTAAGTTCACACCGACACGGAATTTACTTTGGCAGGATGGTGCATCATCGTATTTGGCCAGTGTCTAAGGCGCTTTACAGCAATTACAAAATTGTACGAAAGATAATGATGATGATGGTTTGAGATGAAAAGAGGGGTTATTATTACAGGTTAGGCCCCACTGAGCTCTATCACAAATGATAGCTCAACGAAGCGGGCTTTAGTATCATCATCATCATCATCACGTGGACATTAATAGCAGTAGCTAAATAACTCTAAGCGCGTGATGTTGACTTGTAAAGAAGTGTGGAGGGCGGAAAAATCGGAGGACCCGGAGAAAAATTCCACACGCAACCACGGAGGAGAGAGAGAGAGAAAGAGACACCGCAAACTCCAAATATATACAGCAGCAGGCTTTGCCAGAGTCGGAATGCGGTGTTTTGTCTAGAAGACTTTTGCTGTTATTTTGTCCAGGATTTGATTTCTGTTGCGCCTAGTCACTCTAAGATGTTTTTTCTTGTTCGTGTTTTTGTTTTGTTGCGGTTGCACCCGAGCCAAGAGCCGCGTGGCTCACAGGGTTATCTCCATATAAATAAGAGGCAAAGTTGTGATTATGTGTGTGTCTGTTCAACATGTTTAGCGTACTTCCCGACATGCAACAAACTGGAAATTTGCCATGTGGGTACTTTCCAGACTGTACACCTTGCAAAAATTATAAAAATACACTTTTGTGGGGGGGGGGGGGGGGGGGGGGGGGGTTTGGGGGGGAGGGGGGAGCTCAATAACGCATTTATATTTTTATTTTTTGCACGGCAAGTGAGCTGTGACGTCAAATCTGTCACGTGACCCGCGCATGTGTAACGCATTGTAGTGTAGTGGTTAGCGCGCTGTATATGTGTCTGTGTGGAAGCGTAACGCATTGTAGTGTAGTGGTTAACGCGCTGTGTATGTGTGTGTGTCTGTGTCTGTCTGAGTGTGTGTGTCTGTGTGTGTGTGGAAGCGTAACGCATTGTAGTGTAGTGGTTAGCGCGCTGTGTATGTGCCTCTGTGTGTGTCTGTCTGTGTGTGTGTCTGTGTGTGTCTGTCTGAGTGTGTGTCTGTGTGTGTGTGTGTGTGGAAGCGTGACGCATTGTAGTGTAGTGGTTAACGCGCTACGCTACGAACCCGGCGACCCGAGTTCGATTCCCGCTCACGGCCAACACTGGTGACGATTATTTTAACCGGTCCTGAGCCTAACTGCTGTGGTGTGTGAACATCGCCACTGGGGATCCAAGTCCCGGGCGAAGCCGGGGTAGTACTACAGCTAGTTACCTAATAAATGAAACTGAAACTGTATACCAGGCGAGGTAGTTAACATCTCGCCGCAGATGGCAGTTGTTAAGGAGGCGTTGGGGGGCAGAGATGCATCAAGGCCGTTCTCGTGACGGGGGCAGTGTTTGACCATACTTCACCACGCCGGTCAGTGTGGGTTGTTGAAGTGGTGGTAGGTGGTGGTAGGTGGTGGTAGGTGAGAGCGGTGGGGATAACGAGGAGCGGTATCAGTTGGTACACGAGTCACAAGAGACACCAGATACTTACTGTCACCCCAAGACAAGACAAAGATCCCGCCTCGAATAGCCTCAACAGACTTTTGGGGCAAGTGCTGTTTGCGAGCACCTATGAAGGCCACCGGCACTGCGGCACACGAGGGAGTGGGTGGCCAACACCACCGCGCCCGACCGCCTTTGTCTCCATAGTGGCGATGTTTACTACACGCCGCACCGGGTTACTCATTTGAGGCCGAGTCGACCTAGGGGAGGCCCAGGACCGGTTTGGTTAACGGAGCTGGTGTTTGGTGGCCGTGAGCGGGAATCGATCTCGGGTCGTCGGGTTCGTAGCGCGGCGCGCTAACCGCTGCACCACCGCTCCCCACAACAAACCCACCCACATAGACTGTGATCCCCCAATCCCCCCCCCCCACCCCCCTGCCCCGCCCCCCACGTGCTCAGCACGTCGCCGCTTCCATAATCTGCCAGAATTGGCCCCAATTACGCGAGGGAGGATGCATTGGGAGGGGCACAACGCACGACCCCCCCACCCACCCACCCCGTGTAATTGGCACCAATTCGGGACCGGTTCAAACCAAACGACGACAAAGCTACCGCCCCCCCCCCGCCCCCCCCCCCCCCCCATAGCCTTGACGGACTGTTGGGACAAGTTGCCGTTAGGGGGTTGCTGCAGGACGCGAGTGTAAATCAAGACACGTCCCCGGTCAAGGGACACGTCGATTCACATCGTTCACATCGTTCACATCGTCATGGCCGGGGGGTGGGGGTGGCGTGGGGGGTGATGGGGGGCTGTGGCTATGAGCGTTGTCTGAATGTTTCATCGATTTAAGGACACCCCCCCCACCCACCACCCGCCATCGTCTCTTTAAAGCCGTCCGCCGAGGCAAGCGCTGTTAGCAAGCGCCTCTAATAATGTCAACTTGTAAAGCGGCAATATTTCTGTCTCCCACCAAGCCCTTCGGCTCCACGATCCTGGATTACAGGGCGAGCCCCACCATTTAGGGCCGAATCAACCTAGAGGAGAGGCGGCGGGGGGGGGGGTGCGCACGGTTCTAATATTCGCAAGCCGCTGTTGGCCGTGTGAGCTGGACTCGAACTGCCACCGCTGACCGCCACGCGGCCTGTCCAACCAAATAATCGGAATCAGGATTTGTGTTTGTGCTGCATGAATCCGATGAGCTATGAAGCTCTTTTTCACAGATGTCCAGTAGAAATGCAAAGACCCCCACCCCCACCCCTTCTGTATTGCCCTTGACAGACTTTTGGGGCAGGCGCTGTTAGCTAGCAGCCATAATGAAGGCCGGCACGGCGCACGAGGGGGTGGGTGGCCAACACAATGCCCGGCCGCCTTTGTCTTCCCAGTACTTATGCATACAAACTGCAGCGACCTATAAATACGCACAAGCTCACGCATACCGTATTAAAAACACGACACCAACATCTCCCGCCTAATAGCCACCTAGTTGAATGGAGGTGCGAAGGACAACGAACTATGGGTCTATGTGTGAGTCAATCGGTTTCTGTGTGAGTCTATGGGTCTCTGTGTGAGTCTATGGGTCTCTGTGTGAGTCTATGGGTCTCTGTGTGAGTCTATGGGTCTCTGTGTGAGTCTATGAGTCTGTGTGAGTCTATGGGTCTTTGTGTGAGTCTATGGTTCTCTGTGTGAGTCTATGGGTCTCTGTGTGAGTCTATGGGTCTTTGTGTGAGTCTATGGGTCTTTGTGTGAGTCTATGGGTCTCTGTGTGAGTCTATGGGTCTTTGTGTGAGTCTATGGGACTCTGTGTGAGTCTATGGGTCTCTGTGTGGGTCTCTGTGTGAGTCTATGGGTCTCTGTGTGAGTCTATGGGTCTCTGTGTGAGTCTATGGGTCTCTGTGTGAGTCTATGGGTCTCTGTGTGAGTCTATGAGTCTCTGTGTGAGTCTATGGGTCTTTGTGTGAGTCTATGGTTCTCTGTGTGAGTCTATGGGTCTCTGTGTGAGTCTATGGGTCTTTGTGTGAGTCTATGGGTCTTTGTGTGAGTCTATGGGTCTCTGTGTGAGTCTATGGGTCTTTGTGTGAGTCTATGGGACTCTGTGTGAGTCTATGGGTCTCTGTGTGGCGCTCTGTGTGAGTCTATGGGTCTCTGTGTGAGTCTATGGGTCTCTGTGTGAGTCTCTGGGCCTCTGTGTGAGTCTATAGATCTCTGTGTGAGTCTATGGGTATCTGTGTGAGTCTATGGGTCTCTGTATGAGTCTCTGGGTGTCTGTGTGAGTCTATGGGTCTCTGTGTGAGACTATGGGTCTCTGTGTGAGTCTATGAGTCTCTGTGTGAGTATATGGGTCTCTGTGTGAGTCTATGGGTCTCTTTGTGAGTCTATGGGTCTCTGTGTGAGTTTCTGGGTCTCTGTGTGTGTCTATGGCTCTCTGTGTGAGTCTATGAGTCTCTGTGTGAGTCTATGGGTCTCTGTGTGAGTCTATGGGTCTCTGTGTGAGTCTCTGTGTGAGTCTATGGATCTCTGTGTGAGTCTATGGGTATCTGTGTGAGTCTATGGGTCTCTGTGTGAGTCTATGGGTCTCTGTGTGAGTCTATGGGTCTCTGTGTGAGTCTATGAGTCTCTGTGTGAGTCTATGGGTCTTTGTGTGAGTCTATGGGTCTCTGTGTGAGTCTATGGGTCTCTGTGTGAGTCTATGGGTCTCTGTGTGAGTCTATGAGTCTCTGTGTGAGTCTATGGGTCTTTGTGTGAGTCTATGGGTCTCTGTGTGAGTCTATGGGTCTCTGTGTGAGTCTATGGATCTCTGTGTGAGTCTATGGGTCTCTGTGTGAGTCTATGAGTCTCTGTGTGAGTCTATGGGTCTTTGTGTGAGTCTATGGGTCTCTGTGTGAGTCTATGGGTCTTTGTGTGAG